CACGAATATTGTGCACCGGGCCTCTAGTCTTATATAAAATGGGCCTTAAGCTTATGTTTACAGTGATACCCATGAGCTTTTCTGTATTATCTGAGGAAAGAATTTCCAAAGACAGGCTATAGGACCACTTTAACAGTTACAGACTTCATTACTTTTATTATTTTAGGAAGTCAGTTTATGTTGCATGAGAATCAGTATAAGATGCAACCATGTACATAGTGGATGACTGATATAAATTATTTGATGGGGTTAATTGTATAGCTCAGAACTCTACCTCTTTAGCAAGAGTGTCTGTTTGCCTAGGTCTACTAGCCCTAAAACTTAAGACCAATAAATATGAGTGTCCTACTTTGGAACAGAATGTTGAAATACAGGTGGACCAAAATCCACACAGTAAATGTAATAGGGTAGAATACATTTTGGAGTATTATTTTTTCTGTTTTGATTGAAATGTATAAAATATACTCCCTAGTCTAAGAAGAGTGACAGCTACTTTGCATATATAACAAGATATAATTGTCTAGAGGTCTGAAACAGATTTTGGTGTAGGCTTGAAATTTAATGTTGGAAATAGCATTTTTATATGACCAGAATTGAATGGTTGACTTAATGGTACTATGTTATTTTATAATCCCCCCGATTATAAAATAACATAGTACTGCTCACCTTAGACAATTTTTGAGAAACAGAACATTTAAAGACAGTAATAATCACCTGAAATTATGCCACCCAGAGATAGACCTGTTAAAATTCTGGTATGTCCTTCCATTTTTTTAATACCTTTCAGTTTTCACCACTGCATTGGATACAAAAAAGTGAAAATAATTAAAAGTCACTGACTCTTGGCTCTTCTTGTTGAAGCAGGAAAGGTCCTGCTTCATCCTCCTTAATATTTCATCTAGTTAATTCTCAGAGGCTCCAGAGTGTTTCCCAGAAACCAGTCTTCTCACATTCCTCTTCTCTGTTTCTGTCTGATTGATTTCCTCTGCTCCAAAAGGTACCTGGAGGGTGGGGAATTACTCTTGTCTTGCCCAGGGTATGTCCTCACATGTCAAAGTTGCAAAATCTGGAGCTGCCAGAGTAGTGCTGCATTTCTTGTCATCCTCACAGTGTTTCAAGTCAAGCTGTGTTTTACTCGCAAGTAGAGACAATGACTTTTCTAATTTGGTGTCACACAAGTATGTCCCTGTGTCTTAGGCTCCATTGTGGGAATAACTTGGGCCTTCTCTTGTAGCATTGTTTTCTCCATAGGTCCAAGGGCCAGTGCTGACACACACAACATGCTGGCCTTCCCATTCCAATACCTGCCCCCAAAGCTGGACACAGTTTCTTCCTATGGCCTTACCCAGACACCGGAATCTCAGCTCACACTCAGAGTAAACAGCAATTGTGTCTGTAGAGTAAAATGCAGTACGTCATCCTTTTAGGGTATAAATGAGTGTCCGGGCACCTAAGAGAACCACATCTTTTGGATAAATGGATAGGTGATTTCATAGGTTCAAATTTCATGGTCCTTATTTACTAATCCGTAACCTTAGTGTCACTTAACAGAAAGATAGGTCTCAGTTTTCCCCACTTGTAAAATGGTGATAATATCTTAAGAACTATTGTAAAGTTTATGTAAGATAAAGCACGTAAAACTCTTAGCCCAGTTTCTGACATATAATAAGTGCTTAGTGAATTTTACCTGACATTCTTAAGTATTTTTATTAGACAGCATTGTTTTATGAGCATTTTCCTATGTTGTTAGTTCTTAAGAAATGATTTTGAAATGGCAGAATATTTCATACTATAGCTAATGATAGCTTTTTATGTTTTAAAAAAAATCTTCACCCAAGGATATGTTTTTCATTGATTCTAGAGAGAGAAAGGAAGAAGGGAGAGGGAGATAGAAAAAAACATCAATGGGTTGCCTCACCCACGTGCCCCAACCCCGACCAGGGACCTAACCTGTAACCCAAGTATGTGCCCTGACTGGAAATCGAGCCTATGGCCCTTTGGTGCACAGGACGATGCTCTAACCACTGAGAACACCAACCAGGGCATGATAGCTTTTAAAAGTTAATAGGACTTTTTCTTTTCTATTTTATTTTTTTCCAGGACCATTTATAGAGTACCATATGATTTCACTCATGGAATTTAACGAACAAACTGAGCTATGAAACAAAATAGAGATAGACTCATAGATAGAAAAATAGGCAGACAGCACTGGTAGGGGGAATATTGGTGGGGGTGGAGGGATTGAACAAGAAAGTTAATAGGATTTTGATGATTAATCAGAGGAATCTCAAAGTTGAAGGTAGAGCTATTAAAAGTATTGCTTTGGCCTGGCTGGCATGGCTCAGTGATTGAGCGTTGACCTATGAACCAGGAGGTCACGGTTCGATCCCAGTCAGGGCATATGTCAGGTGTGCAGGAGGCAGCCAATCAATGATTCTCTCTCATCATTGATGTTTCTATTTCTCCCTTCCTTTCTGAATCAATAAAAATATATATTAAAAAAATGACTGCTTTGCTAGTTATAATTCTGGGTAAAAAAAGAAAACAATGAACCTGTCCTTTCTCTCATGGTTTTTCAGTTTTCATGTGGTTTGTAGTATAGTGATGCTGAAATCATGTAGCTCTATTTTTATCTACGGCATTGCCATCCTGGCTTTTTTAGAGAGGTCACAATTCTGTTATGTAAAGATAAAAGGGTCAGCTGTAAGAAAAGCCTTTTTCTAATTATTTTTGTGGCAATTTCAACTTTTTAGTTTTAGTTTCTGAAGTAATGCTTTTTTCTGATGTTTAAAGTTTGTTTTCATTATTAGAAAATTTAAACTTACTTTAAACAATAAAAGAATTATAATAGGATTTTACAGTATACAAAAATATTTCCTGTTCTTGATTTCATTTTGATCCTTATTATAATTTGTTGAGATTTACAGTAAAAAAACCTGAAGGGACGATTCAGACTTTAACTTGACTTCAGGTTTTCTGATTCTTAGTTCTCTTAGGGAGACAGGATGGTTAGTAGAAAGAAAATTAGTTTCAGAATCAGACTGGGTATGAAATAGTCTTACTACTGAGTGAATACTATGTTACCTTGGCAAGTTGCTTCTTTGAAACTAAAGTAAGACTCATCCATCTTCCAGAGTTAGTTTGGATATTAACAAATTTCAAGATATGACATAGTTTAGTATTTATCCTCAGTATAATTTACCCTACATGATGCTATCTCACAAAAGATTTGCAAAGATGTGTTATTCTTATTCATAATGTATCACATGTATAAATCATTAAGGCTGAAGTTTTTAGTTTGTTTAAAAAACTGGTTCAGATTTCATGTGGCAGTTTTATAACCAAGTGTCTTTAACAAAATAACAGCTTTATTGAAGTGTAATTCACATACCTATTTAAAGTAGACGGTTTCATGGATTTTAGAACATTCACAGAATTGCAAGCCATCACCACAATTGATTTTAGAACATTTCATCACTACAGAAAGAAACCCTGTACCCAGCAGTCACTTCCCATTCTCTTCCCCATACCCCCCTCATCCTGCCAGCACTAGGGCAACTGTGTGAAGTCTGTTTTCTATCGCTTTGGATTGGCCAATTCTAGATGTTTCGTATACATTGAATTGTACAGTATGTGGTTCTTTGTGCCTGGGTTTTTGCACTTAGCATATATTCAAGGTTCATCCATAGTGTAGCATGTATCACTTTATTTTTCTGTCCAAATCATATTCTATTTTATGAATAGACCACATTTTGTTTGTCCACTCAATTCATTGATGGATATTTGGCTATTATGACTAATGCTATAAACATTTGTGGTGTTTGTGTGGACATACTTTTTTTCCTTGGAGTGGAATTTGTAGATCATATGATAATTTAACTTTTTGAGGAACGGTCAAACTATTTCTGAAGTGGCTACACTATTTTATGTTTCCACCAGCAGTGTATGAGGGTTTCAGTTTCTCATATCTTTGCCAACACTTGTTGATATGTCTGTCTTTTTTAGTATAGACATCATAGTTAGTATGAGGATTCCAATTTCTCCATATCATTGCCAACACTTGTTGGTGGCTGTCTTTTTTAGTATAGACATCATAGTTAATATGAAGTGATATTTCATTGGGGTTTTGATTTGCATTTTCTTGATGTCCAATGAGGTTTAGCATCTTTTTATGTGAATCTTCTTTGGAAAAATGTTTATTGATATCCTTTTGTTCATTATTGAATGGGATTATCTTTTTAAAAATTGAGTTGTAGGATATTTTCCCATGTCCTAGATACAAGTTCCTTATTCATTATATGATTTACAAATATTTCCACCATTACTCCAGTCTACTTATATCAAGGTAGAGTATAATATAGTCCTGAGAAGAAGAGTCACACTACTTGGATAATTTAAATAATTAATTTGGTACTTCAAAAACTGGTTATACATAAAGACATTTGCAAATATTAATTTCTTAAATTGAAAATTTCATAAACTCTTGAAAAACTGGATCTCTGTTTTCCCTAAATACATGTACTCACATAATGAAGCTGATTATCCTTAAGTGAATTAAAAAATCTGTTTAGAATATGTCTGAGGAATGGGTATGGCTTATAGTTCAGAAAATTTAAACTAAAAGATCCAGGGGCTCAGGTGGTATAGTATGAACATTTAATATTAATATTCTAATTGAACTCATTAGAATTTGATAAAATTCTTAGAATCACTAAACTATACTCTTAATTTTGAGTGATGTATGGAATGTATTTTCAAGTAACAATCCTACTGTAATATTGAGACTATCCAGAAATAAAAGGGAAAAAGAAAACTTCAATTGACATCACCATTCAGTGTGCTCACGGTTCAGATCCACAGTTCTTTGTTTTTTCCTAAAATTTTTAAATTCTAGTTTTCTTAAAATTTCTTGCTTAATTGCTAGATTTTTGTAAAAACATACCAGTTTTCATGTATGGCCTGAATTAAGAGGCTGTGCTTTTTTCATACTGGTCTGAATTGGGTATATAAATATGGTTTCAAATGTAAAAATTTCCCAAGAGTTACCTGTGTAAAATACAGGTAACCAGCTAGCTCTCCATCTTATGAAAGCTTATATAATTCTAAGCTGTAGATGAGGGTTTCTCTATTTGGGGGCCATTAACATTTTGAGCTGGGCCATTCTTTGCTGTGGGTGGCAGTTCTGTGGTTTTCATAGAGTGATAGAGGAGAATTGAAGCTTAGGATTGTTCCCCAAACTGCTCCTATTCTTAACAATGTCATTTGAGTTTTTAAATTTGATTTTGGGCCATACTCTCCTTGCTGATTATGTAAGGATCATTTCTTGTTTGGCTGTGGTATACTAAAGGAATTCAACATGATTGCCTAATAGGAAGTAATTTCATGGAAAAAATAAATACAGCCATATGAGTTTGTTCAGAAATACCTGCCACATTCAAATTGTTTTGAAACACAGTGAATAAAGCATTCATCAATTGAAGAAAAGAGGAAGGATATTTAAACAAATTTCCCCACTTTGATGTCATAAAACTTAAACAACCACTTTCTAGTGTTACCATTTAACTTACTGATTAGTAAATGAAATTATCCCCTTCTGTGCTTTCCACCTATGTCCTAAGAGTTGTTTTCTCAGAGTATAAAGGCTTCTTGGCTACTACTTAAATCGTGTTGTTTCTTAGTAATCACGTGTTAAATGAATTAAATTTAAAAAGGGATATTTGATTTGGTTTAAGATTTGTTTCAAAATAAATGTATAGACTACTTAAATTCCCTAGAGAGTTGAAAGTGGCATTTTTAAAGGGTTATCCTCTTATGAGACAGTTTCCTAACTAGTTTGAGGATTTACCTGTGATTAATTAAGTATAACTGGGGACAAAACTTTGGGGAAAATAAGACAGGGTGGATGGAGGAAGAGAGCCAAAAGAGGAAATAGTTAATGTAATATTGCAGGATATTATTAAGTAGTAGTGTAGAGAAATGATGCCTCAACTGGCTTTTTACTGGGTGTAAATTATTTAATAAAGTAATGGGAAGAAAGAAAACACAATGGAGTTTCGCTTGTCGTCCCTGCATAGTAAATTCCCGTTTCTGTAAATTCTGTTTCAGTGCTTGGAAGAAGGAGATGAAGGCCATTCCTGTATAAGTCATTATACCTAATTTTTTCCTTAGAAGTGGAAAGAGGAGTTATTAAGAGGAGAATATGCTTTTTATAAGAATTCTGTGCTTTAGCTGCTTCTGTCTACCATCTCCATTTGGGATGTATCTAATCCATTCTTACCATTTTACTTTTATAGAGACTATGTTCGAAGTGAACTGGAGTCTGCCTATGAAGGACCGATGTATTTAGAACCTCTCTCCATGAATCGATTTACCACAGCCTTAATAGGTAAGTGCTAAAAAAGAATTAAAAGTGTAGGTAGGAACCAACCAGTTTTGCTATCTTATAATTACTACAAAAAAATTACTACCAGAAACAAACAAACAAAACTCGGGGACTCTTTCAAACTACAGCCATTGGTAAATGTTCCCTTTTCTTAGTCTCTTTTCCCCTTGCATCAGTGCTTTTTATTTTATGTGTTTATAATCATACATTGCCTATAGTTGCTTGTGCTTTTTAGTGGTATTTTGAGTATTTGGGAAGATTAATAAAGCTAATTATGACTTTGTAAGATTAAAATGAAATGTGTGATGTGTTAAAAGTTATTTATTACTGTTGAAAGCCATCACCTTATAGCCAAAAATAAATTGCCAGAAACTTTAAGAACTTGAGACATGATTGAAATATTCAGGTAACAAAATGTAAAAGTAGAAGTGTTGGCTAAGGCCCCAAAACAATATAGATACAGTGTAAAGTGAGGAACCAGAGTTGCATAAAAAGAAGTGAGAGAAAACCTGTTTGTGGCTCTTAACCTCACCCATGCAAGTGTTAAAAGGTCCATTGTTGGAGATTGAAGGAGGGTTTCTTTTTTTAACTATTATTATTAATATATTTTTATTGAATTGCGAGAGGAAGGGAGAGGGAGAGAGAGAGAGAGAAACATCAAGGATGAGAGAGAATCATTGATTGGCTGTCTCCTGCACACCCCCTACAAGGGATCGAGCCTGCAACCCTGGCATGTGCCCTTGACTAGAATTGAACCCAGGACCCTTCAGTCCACAGGCCAACGCTCTGTCCCCTGAGCCAAACCGGCTAGGTCAAGCAGGCTAATTTTTTTTTTTTTTTAAATATTTTATTGATCCTTCTACAGAGAGGAAGGGAGAGGGATAGAGAGTCAGAAACATTGACGACAGAGAAACATCGATCAGCTGCCTCCTGCACACCCCCTACTGGGTATGTGCCCACAACCAAGGTACATGCCCTTGGCCGGAATCGAACCTGGGACCCTTGAGTCTGCAGGCCGACGCTCTCTCCAGTGAGCCAAACCGGTTAGGGCAAGCAGGCTAATTTTTAAGTTGATAATTTTGTATGGCCCCACAGTGATGTTATAAATATTCAAATGGCCCTTGGCAGTAAAAAGGTTCCCCACCCCTGATTTAGAGTGTCACATGTCTTCAGTGGCTTGGGGGAGAGGGGTGTGATAATATGGACTGGTGTCTGACCCAAGTCTGCAAAATCTAAAGCTGTGTCGTCCAAAACTAGCTGCATGTGGCCACTGAGCACTTGAAATGTGGCTAGTGCACATTCAGATACACAAGTGTAAAACACACATCCAGTTTCGAAGACCTTGTACAGAAAGGATGTAAAATGTGTCCTTAATTTTTTAATGTAGATTTGAATATCTGTATGATATTTGGGATATGTTATCCTATCTAATAAAAGAGTAATATGCAAATTAACCGCCATATCGTGATAAATATGGTGGCACCCACAGCCAATAAGGAGGGAATATGCAAAGATGGCAGCGCTGGCTGGAGCCATGGAGCCAGCCAGAGAGCCGGCTGGAAGCCAAGCCTGGCTGGAGAGCAGGGCTAGGAGCGATCAGGCCAGGAGGGAAGGGCAGTTGGAGGTGATCAGGCCAGCAAGGGGGGGG